GAACGCATCGTACTTTGTTCCTGGTGCATTGTGCACATCGGGTTTTGTGTGCAAATTCAGTTACACTAACGGTATTCCCCATGTGGCGGTTTTTAAAATAAGGTTTCAGCGAAGTGTCGTCTGACCCCAATAGTTGCCCCCGTTCTGAAAACAAATAGTGCCTCCGGTACTTTGTGGGGTTTGCTTTGATCGGGAGCTCTTTGTGTTTACTGTCACGTGGAGGTGTGTGCTGCTCTTCTTGTATGAAGCACCCCTCAGGGGCCGATAGTCGCAGCGATGCGGGCTTTTTTCCTTCGTTTCTCTTCTCGCCTTTCTAAACCTTTCTGACCTGTCCAGGGCAATTGTGTTGCATGTGTGCTAGTCGGTCGACTCCCGATCTACACTTCTCGATACTGCTCAGTTGGTAGAAGGCGGGAGGACTGGAGGAGGGTAGTATGTATCCGCAATCAGAGAGGAGGCAATCAGGAGGATCCGGTAGTTTCGCTGGCGTGGCAAATCCCGGCTCGAAGGATGTGTCCTTTTAAGCGTTTAATACCAGTTACATGTTTGGGTTACGTTTGGCTGATGTTAAAAAGAAGACAGTATGTTCTGTTGTTGGACGGATATAATGATCCATAATACACTGCGCAAACAGTCAACCGCAAGGTTACGCAAAGCTGCAGGTTACAAAAGTTTAGCAACCCAGTTTACATGAAGCGGCAGTTAAACAAACTCCGAGGTTTACAAACCAGTTTACCAATGGCTCTTAAAAAATTCAGCTACGGGTGTAGTGAACTAAAGGTCATGATTAGTTGCTATTTGCTAGACGTGGTGGCTAAACATGCTGGCTAGCATGTTTTGTTTAAATTAATTATATTCCGACAAAACAAACGTGAAAAAGCTTTAAACACTTAATTAGTTCACAATCATGTATATTGTACAAACGCTAGCTGAGATCTTTTTAATCCCAATACATCGATATTCGAACAAATGATGTAGGAAGTAGGGACCGCAATCCATCATGGTTCATGTTCTTGTCTTCTACAGTTTGACAATTTCTGAATTATTTTTTTTTTGCCATGGAAAAGATAAACCAGCTACCTTCCGATAGCTCAGTTGGTAGAGCGGAGGACTGTAGTTGGATGTACCGAGACAAAGAGGTGATCAGCAGGAATCCTTAGGTCGCTGGTTCAAATCGCGGCTCGAAGGAGTGCTTTTAAGCGTTTAACCAATACGATCGGTTGATTATGTTTGGTTTGGCTGATTTAAAGAAGAAGAGGTCTGTTGTGACAGATAACCATTACTCACTGTAAACTAAACTTTAAACTAAACTGTCAAATAATTCATTTATAAACCAGTTACCCATGGTTCTTAAAAAAATACATTACGTGTCATCTGACAACAGGTGCCCCGTTCTCAACACAATAGTGAGGTTAGTGTGTCCAATATTTACTCTCTTTTAGCTCTATCTTTGGTCTCCACCAACTCCTAAGCGAATTATTGGGCTCTTTAGCTGCTAAATGCTCCTCTATGTTTACCAGCTAGTAGCTAACCCTTTGGTGCTGAGCAGGCAGTGTACTGTTTTTTTGCTAAAAACAGCTGCTGAAAATGATGCAATGAGAGTGAACTAAGTTCCACGTAGGACAGCTGAAAAATGAGCTGAAAGTCACTTTACAGCTCTGTAATGCTGAGGGGAGCTGCAGATTCAGGTGATTCAGGTGGTGATTCTCTTTAGGTTTATCGCTATTAGCCTTTTACATTGTGTTCACGTGGTGACATTTCATACATCGTTATTATAAAAATGTAAATTAGTACTTATATCACCATATGTAAAATACTCCATTACATGTAAAGGTCTTGAAATCTATTGTAAATGTATTACTGTACAATTAACCTGAAAGCAACATTTTGATATTGTCTGTTAATTACTTATATGCTTTTACCTGTAACATATTTTAGAAACTGCTCTCATATTTTGGATTAAACTTTGAATCTGACAAAGTAACTAGCAACTATAGTTGTCAAGTAAGTGTAGTAAAGTAAAAAGTAAAACATTTCCCTCTGAATTATAGTGGAGTAGAACTATAAAGTAGCATACAATGTAAATACTCAAGTATAGATACCTCAAAATTGTTCTGAAATCGAGTAGTAGAGTAAATGTTATATCGCGCCACTTCTCACATATGTAATCCAGCAGCCACACATACTACAAAAACCACTACACCACACACATTAAAGCCTCCAGTGATTGCGTTTTGACTTTGTTCCTGTTGGGATGCTGCTTTTAGGACTGGCCCCTTGGTGATTTCTGCACTTTTAAACACACAGCTGTTAAACCTCCTCGATGCGGTGATGATGTCTTATTGTTTTTAGCACAGCAGGGCACTCAACTTAATGCACACTTCCCTTTTCTACTAAGTGATCCGGCTCACTTCCCCTCTCAGGCCTTGACACACTGTTGACTGTTCTGTGTACTAATAGTCGCATCCACTGGTATATTTTTAGTCTGATCATTTTCTAACACCTTTCCCTGCTGAATCATTTTCTGTTGCACTAAAGAATTCCCAGCATGTCTCAATTGCCCGCAACGTGGCTCAGTTCCTCTTCCTAATTGAGTCTCTGTCTTTCCCCTTTGCCAGCCTGTGATGAACAACGACAAGCACTGTTTCGAGTGTTACGGGTATGACATCATTATTGATGACAAGCTCAAGCCGTGGCTTATCGAGGTGAGTCATTTAACAGGAGTTATACTTGCATACCCTTCTACAAACTCACATAAAAGGGTTTAATTCACTAAATATGAACCTCTCTTGTGTAAAAGGAAAACATGTTTTTCTTCGCCTTGTTCCTGAAGGCACCTGTTGCACATTTTGCCAAGCCCAAAGATACTTACCATGCTTACACTGTGACTCCACATTCTTTTTCCTTCAGTGTTAAGCAAATTTAAATCCCCTTAAGGGTGATCTTTAGGTGTGTGTGTTTGGACGTGTGCCTCTCTGTATCTAAGTGTGGCTTGAAGGTGTGTCTTTAACCTATTAAATGCATTATTCCAGTTAAAAAAAACACTGCTGAAAATACTGTGCACAAAGGCTGATACAGACTATGGGCTAGCTAGTGTTAAAGCTAAAAAAACCTGCCTTTGAAATGCCTTTGTGATCATTGTATCATGTTTTTTTTACATTCTAGTATTGTGCTTGTTATGTGGCTGTCATATTTTACTGGACTCATTGTGACAGCTGCACAAAGAATTGCTGGGTTTCCAGGCTAGGTCTGAACTATTTCTGTTAACAGACACTGATCGGATCTATTTTGGGCAGCAGAAAGTTGGTTGTAGGGCATAAACGGTCCTCGGTGAGGGACTGAAGAAACGTGTGCCACAAACCTAGTCAGAAACTCTTTCCTTTGTTCATTATTCATGCAAGTAGCCCTCTCTCGTTAACAGGTAATGCGTAATAAAAGCTGGGAAGCTATTATCATTTATTATTATTATTGTTTGTGCCATCTACTCAAGGAATTAGGTGTGTCTGTGTGTGTGTTGATATCAAAGCATCTCTCTCTGGGCACTCATGTAAATTTTCCTGTGTCTATCAAGTTTTATTCTTTGATCGTATGTTAATGAGCACAGCTGTAAAAGCACATTAGCAGCAGAATTTCCTGCCGTGTAAGAGCTTCTATATGGGGATAGGGAGAATAAAACAACATGCTCATTCCTGTTTGGATCCTGCAGTACATTATTAAGCTCCACCCAGTTGCTGTGAAGCTAATTACTGTTCTTTACAGTGTCTCCTTGTGTTTAGATGTAAAACACACTCCTCTTCAAATGTAAAAGCTACCTTCTTTGTCTTTGTCATGCTCAGGTCAACGCCTCTCCCTCACTGACCTCCAGCACAGCCAACGACCGCATCCTGAAGTACAACCTCATCAACGACACACTCAACATCGTCACGCCCAACGGGGACATCCCAGACTGCCGCTGGAATCGCAGCCCGCCCCGAGAGGCCCTGGGCAACTATCAAGTCCTGTAAGTGACATGAAATATCTAACAGTCAGCACAACCTCTGACAGGGGGTCACACAGGGGCTAAAAATATCAGTCAGGAGCTAAAGTTTGCGTTCTCCTGTTACTAAGCTCGACATGGTATCTATTTGTGGTAAATTCCAAACCTTCGATAGCTCAGTTGGTAGAGCGGAGGACTGTAGTGTTCTAACACAAGACATCCTTAGGTCGCTGGTTCAAATCCGGCTCGAAGGAGTGGCTTTTAAGCGTTTAAACCTGTTGTCTACTGTCATACACACATACTAATCATTTCAGTACAGTTCTGAAATATACTCTGACTAACTAGGACTCGTTAATTGTTCAGCAGTTCAACATATGTTATGAATTCTTAGGTTACAACAATACAGCTCGTACATAATGATCCTACTAGTGAATTATTATTATTGTTATGGACCTCATATAGTGAAGTGACACGTTGCCCCCGCTCTTTGCCTTTACATGGACTGTGGAGTATGTAAACTAGGTGCTTTACTCAAACAATACCCAGCCCCGACCCTGTTAAGCACAGCCCACTGCCCTCTACCCTCATTGTTGTGTTTGAACTGTTCTGATTGTGGCAACCTCTTTGTTCCTGTGTTGAAACGTCCCTTCGATAGCTCAGTTGGTAGAGCGGAGGACTGTAGAGTTCTAACACCAGGCATCCTTAGGTCGCTGGTTCAAATCCGGCTCGAAGGAGTGACTTTTAAGCGTTTAAACCAGTAGTTTACAGTCCAACATATTGTACAACTGCAGTTAACAAACAGATTATATTATATGACTGTTCTTCAAGCCAAAAATATCCTGTAGCTAATTGACTAGGACTAGTGGACTGGCTATAAATGTGTCTCTGGCTAGAACAAAGTTCATCTTATGATATGTTTTCTAGAACAGTTTAAATTGCATATGGTTCAGCACACTGTAGCTAAAAAGAAAAAACAATCCTACCAACAGATCTAATTCACAGCTAAAATGATTAGTGAAGAAAAGATATTTGAAGGACTAGCTTTTAAGCGTTTAAACCTGAAGTCAAATGAATGGAGAATAAAAGAAGAGCGTTGGGGAGGTGTGAAGAGTACAACACCACAAACATTATGGAACGTATAATGCTGGAAAACATGTTGGTTACGTTTGGCTGATTTAAAGAAGAAGAGGTCTGTTGTGACAGAGATCCATAACTCACTGTGCAAATTCAGTTACAAACCAGTTACAAACCA